TAATAGAATAATCAATTTTAAAGGAAATATGAAAAGGATTATTAGAAAATAATCGATAATTCGGTTATATTTTTGGAAAATAGATTTATCGTAGAATCGGCTTTTTAATTAATCGATTATTTTCGGTATTTCAATGATAATCGAATTATCGATTTTAAATGAAATAGAATAAAAATAAATTATTGATAATAATCGATTGATCGAAAATAATCGAGTATTTAAAATAATCGATTGATCGAAAATAATCGATTATTTAAAATAATCGACAATTCGTTTTTTTTTGAAAATCGATTTATCAGTTAATCGACTTTTTAATTAATCGATTATTTTCGATTTTTCGAAGATTATCAAATAATCTGTTTCAATGGACGAAAAAAAAAATAGATTATTTGAAAATAATCGATTATTTAAAATAAACGATAATTTTTTGTAAACACTGATTTATCGGTTGATTGGCTTTTTAATTAATCGAATATTTTTGATTTTTCAAAGATAATCAAGTAGTCTATTTTAAAGGAAATACGAAAAACAAATAGATTTAAAACAATGGATTGATCGAAAATAATCGATTATTTTCAATGATCGATTATTTATTTCGACAATCACTCATCCTCTATATTAATTAATATTCCTAAAGAAAGAAGCTGAGGTTACAATACAAAACAGCATTTTCTCATTTTGACTAATTTTTAATATTATGTAATAGCCGTAGAAAAAATATAATGTTTGACTCAAAAGGTTTGATTTGCAGTATTCGCCTGCGCACATGCTTTTTTATAATACTCGTAGACAATGAGTACCATTTCTTGCTCTATTAACAATATTCTATTTCAACATTTTACTGTAGTATCTTGCTGAAAAGTCCGTAGTAAATAAACGCTAACGAAATATTCTATAAAATGTCTTTTTACATAAAATGTTGTGCATCTGTTTGATATTAAAAAATCACGTTAATTTTATTTCATATTACAAAATTCCATTAAACATATATTTTAAATAAATCTAATAGTTCATTATGATGCTAATAAACAAAGTCCGGTCCTTGTCACAGATTTCGGGTTTCTGCCCAGTTCCCCCACTCCGTTAACCTTTCTTTAGAAATTGGCAACATTTGCGCAGATTAAACACCGGTGTATGTTATATCTCTGGTCTCTTTTATTTAAGTTCACAAGTTTACCTAAATCAAGTAAAATGAACAGAAAAATTGTTTTAATAATAATGTTTCGGGCTATGGAACTTTTTTACTCGGTTCCAAGTCACGTAAACTTCCCTTCGACGGTGGACTGTATTGCTCTGTAGGAGGTTCGAGCACCAACTTCTAGACTTTGGATTCATTTCCCCTTGTAGAAATTAAAGATGTATCTTCCTTTTACGTTTTTATTCAAACTTGATAAACTCTAATACAACTAACAATTTTACACTGTACTTAAAATTTAAATTGGTAGCTAACATTATGTGGTAATTACACGTCGGTTTCTAACATTTCATGTTACAGTGCCGATTTCGGCAGAGCAAAAAATACAACCTTACTTGTTAAAAGTGGGAAAGATTCTGGCTTGTCCTGACTCGCCAGCACTGGTGAGCTGTTTGTCCTTGGCAACAAACAAGCTCTGCTGAATTACGGTGTCGAGTCGTCATTGGTTGAACGGAATTTGAACTATTTTTAACCATTTACAAAGATAGACTCATAGGATGAAAGAGGTGCAGTTTGTTTTTTTACCGTTGTTGTTTGTTAGTTAAAAATGAGTCGAGTCTAAAAATAACTTATATTGTATGTACAGGGTAGTTCTATATTGTTTTTATGCGATTGAAACATTATTTTAATTTTATTTTATTTATAGATAGAATGATGAACTATGATGTTATTTTTGTGTTACCTTTTCTTTCCATTATTTATAAAGGGTGGGTTATAAGAGTAACTGACGTATCTTGTTAAAATCTAAATTTTATTTTTGTTTAATGAAATAGAAGACATTTTTAATGTGTCACACCCGGTCTAACATTCAAAATAAGCCTGTCCGGGTGTCAAAATGAAGGTTAAAAAAATAATCACTATAAAATTTAATTTGTTTTTAAGGTGTAGATTAAGAAATTTTTATTAATTTTTTCATTTTGTTTTAATTTATGGTAATCAAGGTAAATAAATAAATTCAGATAAATAAGTCATCTTCTTTTTAAGGGGGTTTTTAATTTTTACTAGCTTTTCAATGATATAAATGTAGGTGGTCGCTATTTATTTATTTTTGTTGGTGTAGGTGGCGCATAGGGGGTTGATGCAGAGTAAGTTATGTATTTTGTCATTTCTTATACTAGAACCAACTTTAGACATTTGGTAATATCAACTTTAGACATTTGGTAATATCAACTTTAGACATTTGGTAATATCATCTTTAGTTTATGAGATATAGCCATTATAAATTTTACAATTATTATTAGGATATTAGATTAATTATAATACACAAGAAGCTTCTCTTCAATGACATGTGATTAAATAAATTGCAAGTAAAATTTATACCTAATGAAATTACTAGGTATCCAAATTATTTTTATATACAATAATAGAGAGTTAAAATATAATAACTACTTTCATGAAAGAATAATATATAAAACAATTTTATTTCAACATAGTCAGTCTACAGAGTAGGTACTGAGAGTCCAAAATAAATAAGAACGGACGCCGACCATATCTGTTATTTTTTTAACAAAAATCGTTTTCAAAAATAGTTGTAAATTATTTTCAAGTTCCCAACTTCACAGCTAGAGGGCGTAATGCTTATTATCCACAATAAAAACATGTTTAAAAAAAATTAAATTATGTTGTGTCGAACATATCAAAACCATATTCTGCACGTAATTTTACTCTCACTCACTCGTTTATCATTGGTCATATGCATTTCGCAATTTTGAAGTCTACTTAGAAACTTGAAAATAATATCCATCAATTTCTTGTTTACGTTGACAATTTTTTTTCCTCAAAATTCTATGGTGCATAGTTTCTGAGATACAGGCCATCTCCTCCATCCAACAACAACCGGCGTCCTGTCTTATTTGGACACCCGTTTCTGTAGAAAACAATAAATATCTGCTAAACTGATAATTAAAAATAAAAAAATCGATGATATTAAATATTTACCGAAAAAAATAATTCAAATTAAAAATATCCCTTCAAGACAGATACAGATAACGGATGATGATGAGCTGACCGCCATGTACCAGCAACATAATCGGTTCTTTTTTAATAACTTTTCCCTGTGTAAAATTAGTTTTCACTAGTAACAGCTACTTCAAATTAAACATATTTGGAATTTTTAATTTTATCTAAGATTAGCAAATCGGGAATTGACTAAAGGTGATATTTAAAACTGGATTTTCCGTGTATAATTGGGTGTTACCTAAAATCTGGTATGTGGGTCATTTTCAGAAAACCTCCTCTTTGGGAAAAACGATATTCATTTTTACTATTTCATATTATGAATGTTTGATTATTAAAATATAATCCTAATATGTTTAAATTAAAGAACCTATTTTCACCAGCACACTTTTATCAAATAGGAAAAATAATAAGCAAAATTGGCCTGTGTCTGGTAAAAATCGTAAAGGAACATTTACCACCCTTTTTTAAATTATTCTGGTAAATATTGTTCATGAAATTTAGTAAACATTTTTTTGTACCTCCTTTTTGTTTCTCGTGACAGTATCCTTTTTACTGGCTGTTACTCTGTTCTTACATCGTTTTAATTTCGTCACTCATATTTTTGACTCTTTTAATACTTCTCGTTATTTTAAAGGAATTTAAGTTCTGATACCAGGCGCTATTTCTTTGGCTATGCATCTTTTTAAATATTTTTTTTTTAAGTGAATTGGAGAAGCATTGGTAATTGACTAAACGACTTTGTCGGTCATATCTTTTTGGGCTCGATAAGCCCTCATCTTGTACTTGTTAATTTCTCTAATGGATCTTTTACCTTCTAATTGCACTCTCATATTACCTGTATAAGGTTTTAATCTGTCGCGCCTTAATCTCGCGCCTCTTACGTTATTATTTGGATCATTCTACACAGTCACTGGCGAGTCCGGTGGAATAATTTGTTGTATAACAAAGACGTTTTGTATTCTCTTTGATTTTGTTTTTCATTTCGCCACTTAATTATCTTTGTTTCTTGTTGTTTGTTTGGTAATTGATTTATCAACACTTTCTATGAAGTGATATATCTGTCTTTAGCCTTTTTCGTAGCTTCGTCATACTGTGCTTTATTTAGTTTTATTCTTCCTCGATATCGCTTTTGCTTTTCTTTTGCGGTAAGTGGCAACTTGTTAAAAAAAGAACGTATTTTCCACTGCGTTACTAAAAATGTCCGCCAGGTTACCAGAAAGTAACGCTGTGGGCATTTTGACGCAATGGAAATAATAATCAATATTATGTTTTTAACAGGTATTATTAAATTTAAATAATAATCGACACGTTAATGTAATCCAATAGCCAATCAAAATGGGTAAAAATATGTATTTTTTATTTACATTTAATCTGTATTCTTGGTAACTTAACTGACATACAATTTTTACATTGTTACTAGACATGCACCTACCTGCCTATGTTTTGCAACAAATTGAACCACGTGTACTGGTATTCCAATTTCTATTCGACAAATGACAAAATGGCTGCCAAATTTCGTGCGAACTTCGACATTATTTAAATACTTAAAAACGGTAACTTAGCGGACGTAACGAATCCGAAAAATTTGTGTTACAAGCGTTAAACTTACAAAATCCGTTAAAATTTATTTAAAAAAAAAAAGTATATTATTATATGCTTTTCGATAGACAAAAGATTGATTGATTAGAGTTGTGACAAAATATCTCATTATATTAACCTCTAAGAAAAGGTAAACATTTGATTTTCTGAAAATGGGAGGGTGTTTTTGAAAATGACCCTTGTACAGTAACATATACATATTTTCTGAATTGTTGAATAACTAATATGTTTGTGTATTGTTTTTCAGTTACAAGAAGTATCGAAAGTTCCGCAGAAGCTTGCCCTCACAGCTGGATTAGAATTGTTGTCCAATAGTATCGATCAGTTTGAATCATCTGTGAACCACACAGAAAACTTACCAGAAAAAGAAGAACCCAAAAGTGCAACCCTTGAAGGTCTAGATTTGCTATGCGCTCTTGCTGAGCAAAGAATTTTGGAAGAAAATGAAAACCCCGTGGTTGAAGCTGAAAGTTTCCGGAAACGCAAGAAAGAAAAGAGAAAGTCTAAGAAACATTCATACGATGAGCCTAAGCGAAAAAAATTAAAGAGCGATAAACATCATGATAAAAAGAAACACAAGAAAAATTATAAATTAGAAAGGGAATGCCCGTGTCAGGGAAGTTATGAAATATTTAAAGCTCCTGACCAAGAAGAAAATACCAAGAATCCTAATGATAAGAGTCAAATAGTTTTTAATGATGGTATGTTTCATTTTTGATCAAATATTTTATTAGCAAGAAATATGATAAAAATTAAGAAAAACATTAAATAATAATAATTATATACCAATTAGACAATGTGGAGACGAGATTCAATTCAATTTCAATTCAATTTATTCAATTTTATACAATATACATGATATGACAACATAATATTAAACAAAAACTTAGGCTTGTACTAATAAATGCACCTAAGTGACTTAGCACTTGTATGTGCAAGAACGAAAAGAACATAAAATATAACAATATAATTGATTTAAAGTTACTCTGAACTATATAATATGGTAATGACAAAAAATATGAAAAAGAGAAACATAAAATAACAATTAACAAATTAAAATAATTTCTTGAATTTAGAGATAAATATATGTGGGTGATTCTCTTGTAACTGCGATTTTTACAATTTAAATTTTTTTAACATTAAAAATGTTTTAAAACGTTTGTTCTGCGCGTTTTTATTTTCTATTTATTCACAAAACTAAGCCTGTGAACTGGTTTTACTACAGCTACAACACAACGAAAACTGTGACAAAATTTCAAAAGTTTAATGCCACGGTACTGACATTATTTCCACGGTACTGACATATCGATACCTTTTTGCCAGACTATCGTAAGTGCCATTTAAACAAATGTCACTTACGTTAGTCTGGCAAAAAGGTATCGATATAAATGATTATTTTTTTACTAATCGAAAGATTGGTATAAAATTTCAATAAAATTCAATGCAGTATGCATTAGATTGTAGTTATAAGAGGTACATTTTATATTAAAAAATTAATGTTGATAGAAATTTATATATTTAATTTTAAAAATAAGAATCGGACATGCCACGGTACTGACATTTCGAGTATATTTAGGTGCAGCTTAAAAAAAAATTGCGAAGGTTTATAATCTAATTCATAATGTCAGTTGTAAAATACCTCTAAATTTACAATATTAATAACTTTTTGATGAGGAAAACTTATGCTAAACGATAAATAAAATACTGGACATAAAAAAACACAGTTATGCAAGAATCGCCCATGTATACTTACAAACTACAAAAGTTGAGCAATATATTCTCTTTTCTCAAAAATAAAAATTTTACATTGCTCAACAAACCTTTTATACCCAATTGTGGTTCGAATCTTCAATGGTAGTATATTGAAAATTTTTGGTCCCATGATTGCAGTAAAAGAAAAGTAAATTTTGTTAAATAAACAAACAAGGACAGTCCATAGTAAGTTATGTTTATGCATATAAAACGATTTGCACATGACTATACGTGTAGAATGATTTGCACATAACTAGAGATATTAATTGGTAAGCTTATGAGAGTAAGAAGTAAAAAGTATTTGGGGAATTTATTATATACTTCTTTGCTTCCCGCCTGAACCGGGTTTTGTCTATAATCCTTTTTAGGTGTGGTGGAAGTACATTTCGGACCGAAATAAAAATAGGATCGTTGAGTTACTGCTTTCGTCTTCTTGCGATATGGCCATCATATCCACTCCTATTGCACAAACTACTATTGTATTCTCTGATTTAATCTCTAACATCTAAACGTAACCCATCAAACATTTTAATAATAAAAAATAACAATTGCAATCCATTTAATATAAAAAAAATGTATCCTTAAGTGGAAATACTAACCAAAAGGTCAATTATATCTAAATGTTACACTTTGTTAAAACAAATTTACAGCAGCAGTGTAGTTAATATTCCAACATTATAAATATATTTTTCATAAAATATACTTTAAAATGTATATATTAACAAGGTTGTTATTTTTGTAGCATTCAGGAAATTTGTGTGAAAATGTAATTTATTTGATTTATTATTCAGGAAATGTTAAAGAAGAATGGTTGTTGAGCGATAAAAGTGAATCAGATGTTAAAGTAATCAATCCAGAAGATGAACATCGCACTCCAGAGAATAAATCTGAAATAACGATAGTACAACCCAAAAAAATCAACTTTGTTAAAAAACATTTCAGATCTAAATCGGCAGACTTTGATCATAGAATTATTTCTTCATTAAACAACAATTTTCTGCCATTATTAAAACCTCCGGTTCTAACTGAAACGCCGAAATTTGAAACCAAACATAAGATAGATGAAAATGATTTTGACACGTCTCCCGAAAAACAACCATCAACTCAAAAAAGAAAAGTTGGACGACCGAAAAAACTAATGCCATTTTCAAAAGAACAAGTAACCACAGAAACAATCGTATCTAAGAAACCCAAGAGCAACCTCATAGGATATTTTCTTGCAGCTAAAGAAAAGTTTAGACTACAGAATAAAGAGAGCCTTTGCGAAAATACAGACAGGTATGTTTATTTTACTTGGAACTTATTCATGAATGTCTACCTCTTCATGTATTTAATTGTTATAAATTTTGTGTGAACAAAAACCATTCTGGCTTATTGAAATTGAAACATCTAATGCTTAACTGATTATGAAACCTCAGTAAAACGTCATTTTAACTCATCAAGAACATACATAATATTCTCCATGTTTAAACAGGTCTACTAATCTATCTTGGTTAGTGTTGGGAGAATCGATGTTTTTCAGAATTGAACATTTTGAATTCAAGTACTTTTGAGAATCGAGCAATTATTCGAATACAAAGAATCGAATTATTTACGTTTCGTTTCGAGGTTAGCGTCAGCGACACCAAAAAAGACGCAAGCACATGCGATTCAGCCTCTCGACTCGAGTCCCCGAGTTCTCTCGGAGTCTCAGCTCTTGTCTCAGGTACCGCCTGCCAATTTGTTCTACGTCTAATATATGAATTATTGAATAAATAACTTTAAGTAACCATTTTGTTATAGGTCGGTGTCGGCAAATATGGATCGTCATGACTGCCACTTGTTTTTTTTTTGTCTGTTTTATTAATTGATTTATGACTTGTTTATAAAATAATAAATCCCAAAATTCCTATACTAATTTTATAAAAATATTTATGCAATATGGCGCAATCAGAATAAAGTACTATGTTAAAGTAAAAATAGTAAACTATGCTGCGTTGGATAATTGAATCGGAGTCTAGCCGAATTTTGTTGATGTCGATCCATTCCGATTCAGCATTCGCCGAATTTGACGATTTTTACACGCGACGCAACTCGTAAGTCACTCGAGCTCGATACTTTCGTGTAGATTATTTTTGGTGTTCGAATACTTCGTTGAGAATCAAATGGATTCGAATGCACGCTAGAATCGAATACTTTTATAATTTGTATTCGAATAGTCCCATTACTAATCTTAATCCCCGGGGGTTCCACTAACTTTCTTGGTTTGGCTGGTGGTGTGAAAATAGAAGAAAAAGCTGTTGTTGAGTTTAAAAGGGTGTTTCCAATCCACCATTACTTTGTGTTTTTAATTTCGATTTTTATCGTGTGAAATTTAGCAAAACAAACATGGGGGGTCGGTCCCGAAATGACAATTTTTCTCACTCCAAAAAATTATACAACATTCATAGCTTGTGTAATAAAATCATTAAAACAAGAATGCAAACACATTATCATATACTCTGCTAACCAAACGATCTTAAAGGCATTTCTGACGCCAGAAATCAAATCATGAGATGTGAAGGAATGTTTGGAAGACCTGAAAAAGCTAAATAGCCAAAATACATTGATCTTAGATTGAGTACCAGGCCACAAAGGACATCAAGCCAATAGGAAGGTAATTAGCTATGTGTGGTTACGAACCTTTTGTAACGCTAATTATTTAACGAAAAATTATGTACCAAAAAAATATCGGTACCGTTTTGCTACTAGACAATTAACTTAATCACCCTCGGCCTAGCTCATATCAGGGTCGGTGAGTTCAAATTTAGAATTTACTAACAAACCAATGGCATCATCTTTAATTTAAAAGGCAAGAAAGTGTTCTATTAATAGTTATGTAGCCATGTATTTAGATGGCCAATAAATACAAATTATGCCATTAATTTGCTATTTGAAAGTAAGGAATAAATTCAAAGAGTTAAATTAAAATATAGTGACTTTAATGTTACTGTTAAACAACTTGACAATTTTCAAGATTATGAAATATTAAAACAAACAAATGGTTAAATTTTAGATATAGTTAAATTAAAATATAGTGACTTTATAGATTTTCGTTAGTAAACATGTTCGGATTGCTGGCAGACACTTATCTAGCTCGGGTTGACGGTCGAGGAGTTACAGCTTAAACTGGACCGTTGATGAGAAGATACTACTGCTAGACACCATACACTACCAGGATTACGGCTTGAGCTCGGGATCTCTTATTTCCTCATGGTAGCCTCTTAAATTTGTCGGTATCCTATTTTATGGAAGGTATCGCCCTGTTACTCTTGTTAATTTGCCGGTATCCTTTTTTTACCAGCTTAACCTCTTTAGTACGGCTTAATTGTCTCCTCTTTATGTATGCCGGTATCCCCTTTTATATAGGCTGGTATCCTCTTTTATGTAGGCCAGTATTCTCTTTTGTGTAGGCTGGTATCTTGTTTTGTGTAGGCCGGTATCCTCTTTTATGTTAAAGAAAAAAAAAAAAACACGGTGTCAGTCACTAATATAAAAAAACATTTCCATCTCTTAACATGTGTTACACAAAAAAGAAAGTACAACATTTAATATAGAACAATTATTATTAAAATTTCAGCGATTGATTAGATTCGCAACAGTATTCAGTTACCTTGTTAAAAGATCTAGATATAAAAAACTAAAAATGGCCGCTTTTCATGGCATGCGGTATAAAAACGAAAGAGCATTTTAACATTAATCAACCCAATACAATTCGTGGAACTCACGTAATAATCTACAAACGAAATGTTGTACCTGTAATCACTGATGAAGCAATTCAAAATAACCAAATATATTAAATAATTACCTTTTGTCACCAAGCATTCACAAGTGGATCGTTCAAACTCACACAACGAAAAAAAGAGAATATTCCGTAAAGCTTACTTAAAAGCTAAATTCCATTGTACGATTGCACGCAGGACCCCAAATTATTGATTTTAATGTACGACGGGTGGCGTTAAAACAGTAAGGAAATATTTTTACCAGTGGCATGACGACATATTTTTCCCAGGAGGGTATAATTATTAAATGTAGGTAATATTGCGGAAATAAAACTGAAAAGTTATTTATAACGTTACACTTTCTGAAATAAAGTGGCTAAAACATTGTACAAAGAGTCAATTAGTAAATACAAAAAGAGCCTCAGGAATGGTGGAACAACCATCCAATGCTGACCCTTGCCAAATCATTCATTAAAGAACCATTGGCCAAGTTCACCATAGCACTAGGGGGTTCAAATTTCATATGGGTAATTTTGTAATTTACTTGGGGACTTCCAAAGAATTGAATACCTTTGTTATCAGATATAATTTTATTCTTATATTTGTTTATTTGTTCTTGCAGATACTTGGAGGAAGAAACTCCAATTAAAAGAAAAACATCTAAAAAGAAACATTCTTTTATTGGGGATTTGAAAACTTCCAAGATAAAACCGAAATTAAAGGCCGAACCGACTTTCAAATCTTTTGAGGACCGCGAATCTGTCGAAGAATTTGATGAGGATGATCAAAATAATTCTGTTATAATTAAAATCAAATCAAATCTTGTTGAAATTCAAGACAAGCATGGAGATCAAAAAGAAGATCAAGAACGCGAGGAGTCGTTTCTTAAAATGAAACAAAATCCTGAAGAAAGGCGATGTGTTTTGACTGCTGAATTGCTAAAAGTTGACAAGCTTAGAGTGCTTACCGCAATGGGTGGATTGTTTTATGCTGGGCAGCTCAATGCTATTGAACCGCCTGATGTTTATTCCATCGTTTTAGATGGAGAAAGAGGGAACAAACCACATATAATGTCCAGAGAAGAAATTCTTAGGGATGCAGTAAGTTAAAAGTCATTCAATATGTTAATTGAAAATTATAATTTGTAAAAAATACCTTTATTTACATTGTAATGTAATTTATCCGAAAGCATATCATATATAACCCTAGAACGGCATTCTTTAATTTCTACCGCTTTTTTGTGTTGACACGTAAAATTTACGTATTTACACATTTTTACATGTACACTTTGTAAAATTATCTGTTTTTTTTTATCAGAATATAAAGTAAAGTTAAACAAATAATGATTCAGAGTAAACCGCGTTGTCATATCTCAATTTTACGTTACCAGTTTCTAGCAGAATCAAAATATAGTAAGCAGTAGAGTTGTAGGTTGTGGCATATTATAGATAATATACAATGCTAGTATGATTAAAAGATATTATTTATGACAAAAATCAGTAATGAGTAATACTTATACATTTCCTGATCATTTAAAATTAATTATTTTATGTATTGTTCAGTCTTTATTACAACTAATGGCAACTGTGTACAGAACGATATTTGTGTCTTTGTCAGTTTCGTTTAAAATCCATTTCATCGATGCAGTGCTCAGTAATGTACTTGCAACCACGAGCGTATCATCAGGTTTTGAATTGTACATCGTGAATTGTAAGTTTTACAGTTAGGTTAGTAAGTAATCGACGTGTTGTGATAACAGTTGGTGAAAACAATAGTGATAATAAGTGTTTAAACATTAAATAATTATTTGAATAAGGATAATTTCCTGACCGTAACAGAATTTTATATAAATGAAAATGAGAATTTTAAACTATTTGTAATCGTCTCTATGTATTTTTTAAGGTTTTTAAAATTTTGACTGCACCCGAAGATGGAAACATAGGTTTCCGAAACATATGTAGTGCTGTGATAACAATTTAAAATAAAATTAATGACCGAATATGCCAAGGAAATTTTTATTTATATTAAATAATTATATTTCTACACCATTCTAAAACTACTCAAAAAATGGGAGACATTGCAGGGCCTTCAACGTCGAATAAGGTAAAACGGTCGAAGTCTCGATCGCTAAGTGAAAAATAAATTGTAATTTGAGTATTTCACTGTCTTGAAAGAGATCATCAGCGACCAAAAGATGACTTAGTGCATATGTGCTGAAATTCTATGGGTGTACCTCCGAATAACCAACCGGGCGTTCCAACGTTATTAACAATTGCAGCAGATAAATTAGTTAACATATGCTCTGATTATATGGGTGTACCAAAATCATCGATTTACAAAATACTAAAAGAAAACAAAATTTATGGGGAAATACAAACGCCAAACACTAGTAGCGGACGAAAAAAAATCACAGTTGATGAAGCAGTCAAAAACAGTATACACTAAACTATTCACAGTTTCTTTTTCAAGAATGAGCTGCCCACTTTCCAAAAAGTTCTGGAGGCAGTTAGCGATCATGAATTGGTCCCACAAATGATTAAAGAAACTTTGAGGAAAATTTTACACGAAATGAAATTTACGTACAGAAAAGTCGACAGGAAAAGCATTCTCATTGAACTTCAAGAAATACTAGTATGGAGAAGAAATTTACTATATCAATGAGACGTGGGTTAACCCAGAACATACGGTCAAAAAAGTATGGCAGGATGGTCATATAACAAGTTTAAAGGCAGAACTACTTCAGCTAACAAAATTACACACAGACAAATATAAAAAATTCGCAGTGGATGAAATGGCGTTAAGTCGTGGAACAATTCCTACAAGAAGCCATTCAAAATATTTCTGCAGAAGACTGGAAAAAATGCATTCAGCATGTTTTAAAAGAAGAGCAAAAAATTTGGGACGTAGACAACCGTATTGAACTTTGATAATAGCGGTAGCAGCAGTGACGAATCTGAGGTTGAAGATTAGACAAAAAATTGCACACAAAAAGAAGTCTATATATTTAGGTATCTTTCTTATTTTTAATTTTAAAAATATATTGTGATTTTTATTAATATTGTGAATTTATTTGGTACCTAATGTAATTACCACAATTATTACTCCGTTTTCATGAAGCCCAACTAATTACTACAACGATTAGGTAAATTACGATATTGCAAAATTTTAATGAAATAAAAAATTTGTGATTATTTTAAATAATTGTACTAAGCATTTTTGGTCCATTTTTAACCCTCTCAAAAATTAATAAGCACGCCTCCGATTTGCCATCAACTGGGCTTATTTCTACTCTCAATCAATATTTGTTTTACTTTTGTGATGAATATTTTCATAAAAAATAATTTTTGGACATTTCCGGAAAACTTGTGAAAAGAAGTCGACCTTAAAAATACTAGATATTGCCACGTTTGAATATCCACATCCGATGCATTTTTTACATCTCGAGCTTTTTTTTCCACATCGGGCACATCTACTCCATCTGCGTTTGTTTATCCGAGATGTACCTGTCCAGATTACATTTTTTACATCTCGATTTGAAATGAGATGTGAATGAGATGTTCGTTCCATGCCACGCAATAAGTGTTCTGTGAAGCGAAGTTTGTCAATTTATCCTTTGTTTATGCTAGCATGAATATAAAAGTGATTAGTTTGTTTAATTTTGGTTTAGATGACAGCATCTCACTATAGTCTATAATTTCTGTTTATTATTAATACTTAAAAATTTTAAATAGTGCTAGAGGCTAGAACTCTTTGTGATACTATGCAGAGATAGTTTAGTTATCATTAAGAAGTGTTATATATTCTAGAACTCGTCATATTGTGCAAGAATCTCACTATGGTATACAGGGTGTTTCCGAACTTGACGTCCAAAATTGCAAATCGCACCTGTTTTTGAGGACTATTGCGCTACCCGCTCAGGGTAGGACCTGCTCTTTGATTTTTTTATAATGGCTTTATTTTGTTTATTATATTTTTTTTAGAAAAATGAAATCTGCCAATCGCTCTCAAATTATGCGAACTACCACCCCTACAAATTTGAACGCCAAGTTCGGAAACACCCTGTATAATTTTGGTTTATTATTATTACTTACAATTATTGAAAAATTGCTAGAGAACTGTTTGGATCTCAATGCAAAGAGGGCCAAGTTATCATTTAGAAGCATTATATATTCCAGAACTTGTCATAATGTGCCAACATCCCGCCATGTTCTATAATTTCTGTTTTTTAATAATACTTAAAATTATTGTAAAACTGCTAGAGGCTAGAACTCTTTGGGTCTCAATGCAAGAGATTCAAGGTATCATTTAGTAACTTTATATATTCTAGAACTCGTCATAATATAACTATCTCATTACCGTCTATAATTTTTATATTATTAATACTTAAAATTATTCAAAAAGTTCTAGAGGCTAAAACTTCGGGAATCCATACAGACATAGTCTAGTTATCAAACTCGTCATAATGTGCCAGCATCTCACTATGGTCTATAATTTTTGTTTGTTATTAATACATAAAATTAATGAAAAATTGCTATAGGCTTGAACTCTTCAGGTCTTAATGCAGAGAGAGTCAAGATATCATTTAGAAGCTATGTGTCCTTAAAGTTGTCATAATATGATAGCATTTTACTAAAGTCTAGAATTTATATGTCTAATAAATATTTATAATTATAAATGAAATAATTTGGCTTTACAAACTTACAAAAACTCTAGAAAAAAATTAGACGAATACATTTTTTGATTTTATTTATTATATTGGAATGCTAACTTCCGGCCAAAAACATCTCATTTTTTAAATTGAAGTTTTCGGTACTAAATTCGACAGAACTTTTGATTAGAAGTATCAGGAACTATAGAACTATATCGGATGCCATACGAACTCTTCTTAACATATAAGATGCTGATATACCTCTGTAATTTTTTGTATTATGGTTTATCATATTGTAACAACATATAACTACTACTTATTGGTATCGATGTGTTATTTTTACATGTAGACTTAAAAAACAAGTGATGCCTAATTTTGCTAACACATTGTAATACTGATACCTACAACTCCAACAGAAGTAAATGTTGTCTGAGCACTGTTTGGAGGCCCAAGGGTGTGACTTAAAAGAGTTACAAGGGTGGATCCCTATGCTCCTCCCCTGACCTATTTGTAAGTGGTGGCTTGATTAATGTTTTTGACAGTTAACTGTCTTTTGTAAATCATATCTACAAAATATCAACTTTGTATCTCGAAGCGTTGTTGTGCTGTGGCTAATTCTTGAACTGTGTGTCATGATTGTTCATAAAAATGGATCCTGTAGAACAAAGAATCATAATAAAAGACCTCCAGAAAAAAGGCATGAAGACATTGTGGGAACTATTGGTGAGTTTGCAGTTTCTTATGGCATAGTCAAACGCTGGTGCCGAGATTTTAAATGGGGAAAAACATTCTGTGAAAACCACCATACAGGTGGTCCTCCCATAATGGTAACAACAGACAAAAACATTAAAAAGGTACACGATATCGTACTGCAAGACCGACCAATACTCATCAGGGAAATTGTGGAAAATATCATATCATGTGGTGCATCACATACTGAATAAAGAATTATATATGAAAAAGATGAGTGCAAGATGGATGCCCTGAATGTTAACCATTGATCAAAAAAGAAATTGGGTGTTCATTTGTGACCAATTTTTGGAAAGGTACAGAGTATTACAGGGGTCTATTACGCACAATTGATTTCTAAATTGCGAGACTTTCTTAAAGAGAAACGTTGAAGAAAGTTAGGGAACGGTGTGCTGTTCCATCAGGATAATGCTCCCAGCCAAACATCTTGTATTACCATGCCTGCTATACACCACACAGGCTTTGAATTAGTGGAGCACCCACCATATTTGCCAGATCTCGCCCCAGTGATTATAGGCTGTTCCCCAAATTAAAAAAAAAAAAACTTCCAGTCTGTAGAGAGGTGGGGTTTGCAGAGGTCAGACATATTTTTTTCCAGTAGGCTGTTGAGATGTTACAGCACCGATGGGCTAAGTGCGTTAGTGTAGAGGGAGACTATATCGAAAAATAAAAAATATAATACCACTGTAGTTTTACTGTAAGAAGGTGGTCAGGGGTGCGGCATAGGGATCCACCCTCGTAGTTCTTTTCCTAAAACCACACATATATTTTACTTACAATACCAGTCTAAGGTTAAAAATATATTGCCAAGTTTTCAACAAAATTGAGAAACCAGCACTATCACTTGAACTCTTATAGAACTATAATACTTCAGTCCTAATCGTTTGAAAGCTGACGTGATCAGTCACTATCAATGGCAACATGATTTGAATGACCGTCAGTTTACAAACGATCGGGACTGAAGTATAAAAGTGTTCAATGTTCAATTTATTACATTTTTTTTGTCATGTTGGACATTTATACAACTACAGATACTGTTAAATTTCTGGAGTTTCTTTTGGAGCCGATATTATTATCCCTTTTCGGACTGATATCTATACATTCAGTGATCCATAATTTTTTCATCTATTGTTGTACTTGTTTTTAGATCGTCGAAGTATCTCCTCAAAATGTCAGTGAACTGTTAGTTGGAACCAGAGTCTGTGCATATTGGAGTCAACAATATCGATGTCTTTATCCAGGCAGTATCGCGGAACCAACTTCTCCAGATTCCGAGCTAGATAATAAGTTTGTATTAGTAGAATTTGATGATGGAGACAGTGGCCGAATAGATTTGAAGGATATTCGATTGTTACCATCAGATTATCCTGTCATTGGTAAGTAAAAAATGCATTTTTTTTCCAATGTTTAAGATATTTTGAAAATATAATTAATTGGATTTAAATGTGGTAATCTTGGTAGTGTAAAATTAAAGTCAATTGATAATGTTATTTTTACAAGGAACATTCATTATTCAGTATTTTGCAATGAAATATTATAAATCATTGATAAAAATATAATGTAGCTTTCTTCAAATTTATTTTTTAAATTAGTAAACTTTTTAGTATAATATTGCTACCTCGTAGTTTTTAAGTTATTTAGGAAAAACTAAATTAGATTTTTTTTGACATCGTTTTTATTTATAGATATACCATAAAATATTATATTAAGATGTTGCCATAAGCAATATTCCATTATACCCACCAATGAAAAATTTCCTCTTTTTCTGTAACCTCCAACATCTCATCCCAACTTTTATGCATTTAGTTCTATGATTCTAAAATCTAAAGTAGTTTCCAAGAATATTTTCAGCTTTCATAATGTTGTGTCTCAATTCTGTTTCATTTGTTTTGATGATTACTTGGGCATTTTTGTCTACCTCCTGGATATTTTACTTCAAGTTGTTTGCCTTTCAATATATCTAGCCTAAGGTCCCCTGTGCAGCTCGAGATTTACCTGCAGTGCCTTTAAAGTGACTGTGTCATCCATTTCTGAAACTTAGTTAGGTTTAGCGATAGGCCCATTCCTCTTATTTTCCTCAATTAACGCCCTAAATGCAGGACATTTTATTTAATTGTTTCTGTGGCCTTTTATCTATATCTATCTATCTCACTCACTTGCTCACAGAAATAGTCACTCATCCAACTTCTAACTGCGGTGGCCCTGCTTGACTGCAGGTATCGATACCCAATAAGTGAACCTTCTACGCCAGGCCGCTGAGCTAGCTGTATTTGTTTAAAATGTCTGAATTGTCTTTTTTTGGTTAACTGTTTTTTAGTTTGTCTCTGATTTTAATTGAGTTTATTATTCCTTCACTTATCCAGGGCTTAATTTTTTATTTGGTTTTATAATTTTTAATGTTCACTTCTAACTTTAATGAGACAATATAATGATGAATGTATCTATCATTCGCATCTATTGGGTTTCCAACGGAAATAAAGTTCTTTCAACAGTTGATATTTAATTTGAAAATTTGAGTAAAAATTGCGCAATTTGGATAGACCCTCAGTGTGTTATTTCCAGTCGAGTTATATAATGTTAGACCTAAAAATTTTGTAAATTTAGTTTGCCAAGGTATAGCTAAGTGTTGTTTAAGCATTAAGATATTGTTACTGGCGAACCTTAAGTTCAATAAGGTAAGAGCCTCAGCATCAAGACTTTCTAGCTTACACTTATTCTTTGTCACAATGATAGTAAGCAGTGTTATCTGCATATTGAACAGAAGGATGTAAATTTCAAATACGACTAGTAAGGTAGCTCATTCATGTATAGTATAAAGAGGGTTGGCCCAAGTATCGAGCCTTGTTGGTACACCAGCTTGCACTTTCTGAAAGGTTATTGCCAATTTAAACAAATTGGCAACGATCTTTTAAGCATTGGGTTAAATGATCAAGCCCTTTCCCTCTTATATCGCGTATTATGTGATTTTATCTAATAATTTGCTATGACTAATGCAATCAAATGTCTTTGAAAGGTAACAAAAAATTGCTGAAAACATTTGTGAGACCTCCAAGGCACTTTTCAATATCAGTTAACACCTTTGTGATATCTTTTATTGTTGCATACAATCATGTACCCATAAATAACGCCACTACGTTTATACAAATCTTTTAGGAAAACATAACAATTCTACTTAAAAGTAACCTCCCAGTATAATTACCGCTTGTAAAAGATATTGTACTAAAAACCAATTTGTGCATTTCAGAATATGATTTGAATCCTTTATTAAGCTTGATGAAAAGGAAAAAGAAACCATCAAAGACTAAGGATGTAACAGAACCAGAAGTAATTGAGACAAGAGAACAAATACCTGAAAGAATTAAGATGACCATTGACAAAGTTGATGAACCTGAAAAACTAAAGGAATGCAGGCAAGAGAAACACTTTAAGAAAAAACTTTTAAAAAGAATAAAACGAGAAAAAATGATACAAGAAGAAAAAAGGAAAAAGAAGAAACATAAATGTTATGATAGAAAAGGTAAAGAACGAAAACATCACAAGAAACACCGAAAACATAAAAAACGACACGAAAAAAACAAGACCAGTAAAAACGAAATGGGTGTTGAAGAAAATAATGAAATTATTTTGGAGACATCAATGAAACCCGATTTCAGTGAAGAAAAAGTATTATTTATAAAACCCAGTGAAGAAAATGAAATTAAAGTTAATATTAATACCAGTATTGAAGATGAAAAAGAAGATACATTAGTTGTAAACACCGAAGTTTCCAATAAGAAAGTAATAATATTTTATAATATTAGATGTAGTCAATATAATTAGTATTAGTGATGGGACTTTTCATGAAAAGTAATTTTTGAACTAGTCCGACGGACGTATCCGGAAAAGTAGTGAAAACATGAAAAGTCACAATGAAAAGTAGTCGACCTTCAGCATAGAAGACACACACAGTTAAATCTCCATCCTGGATGTTTTTTCAAAAACACTTTGGGAACAATATTTGCACTTGTGTTTTTTGGTTTTTTTAAGGCAAATCATTTGTAAAATACTTCCAACCTTTGGATTTTTTTGGTAATTTTTTCAAGAGTTTATTTTTATAAGATATGAAACGAAAATACGAAAACATCGTTAAAACATATAAAGTCAGTAATGATTTGTCGTTTCTTCTTTTTTAAATTATAATTTGCCTTTGTTAGAAATTCGGACAACTTAGTTAATTTAATTTCGCGCAAGCACTATTCACTTTTCCATTTTTGAAAAGTGTGTTTGGACTAGTCAACTTTTCAGACTAGTCCGTCGGACTTGTCTGTGGACTTTTCCAAGCGACCCATCACTAATTATGTGTATATTTTTTATTACCCATATAATAAATATTAATTTTTTTATTATTTCAGAAAACGAATATGCGAGATCGTCAAGAATCTTGTGAAAGTCGAAGTAAAATGAGTGCATTTTTGCCTGCCCGCCAATTGTGGGGTTGGGCCGGAAAGGAATACAAACGTCAAAGAGTGAGAGGAAGATTTAAAAAGTTTTTCTACAAATCGATTCAACGCGGAAAAGAAGTAATAACGGTGAGTTTTATAATATATACAGTATGAATCCTAAGTTGATACTTGTTTTCAAAAAAACTCAAAAATGAGAAACTTACTTTAATTTATTCCAAAATGTGTCCAATATGGTCCAGTATAACTATATAACTTTCGTCGAAAAATGTTGTAATTTAAACAATAGCTTATTCATACAATTTTGACATTTGAAATGGTCTACGAAAAACAGTTAACTCATTACACGAAATTTTAAACTGTAGGATGTTAAAAGATGTATTTGAAACTATTGGTCCTGTCACACATCACTTGATATTGGCAGAAGTCCCAATTCATTAAAAATTAGTACAGTTTAGTTTCAGCAAATAATACTGATGAATTTAGACCAATAAATGCTGTTAATAATCAATTATCAATTAATGAATTTTGTTTCTGAAATGTCGATACTAATATGTAAACAATTCGGTTTTAGAAAAATATTTTTCTGCGAATCAGCGCTACAACTTACACTTTCTAACATTCAAACTAAATTAGTCGAAAATATAAATGTTGTAGCAGTATTTTTGGACTTAAAAAGAGCTTTTAAGACAATTAATAGGCAAAAATGTTTTCAAAATTGTATTGTATTAGCACAGCTTATACAATACAGCTAAAACACTCTCTTGGCGGCAACGGTTTGCGTCGATTTCGTCGCGCATCGCTTAAGCTCCGCCTTCGAAGGGAAAAGATGGTTTTGGTGTTCAGAAGCGTACTTAGGTAAGGTGTTGAGTCGTGCGTATAATTTCGTTGATTGTATAATTTCGTGGAGCCTATAATTTCGTTGATTTTGTTTGAGTTAAAGGTACTGTTATTATTTTGGTGACTCTTTAGCTATGAGTAGAATGAGTGAAAAAAAAAAAAGACATCATTCTGTTTGTGCAGTCAAAAGCTGTTTTAATAAGGGTTATACCTGCAAGAAAACATTCTTTAGTTTTTCCAAGGACCCAAACCGATAAGTACCACATTATAAGAAATTTTCATTGTTAAAAATATAATTTATACAGGGTATCCCATTAGTGCGTTATTGTTCATTATTTTGTTGTGGACACGCAAGAAAGTTTTAACGAGGATTTTACTAGCCACATACAAATTATTTTACCTCTAATCCGAAAGATGTGCTATTTTTCGTAATATTTATATTTAAATAATGTTTCTAATTATATTTGACAGATTTAAAACAAATTAAAAATTTAATTTCCCAAAACTTACTTAATATGGCATGTAACCAACCTTATTACGCCAAGGTTTTCAATTTTTTCAATAATAAAAAAAATTGTTTAATCCGGGCCCGACTTTTCCCTCGAATCTAACAGAGATAGCACCATTCCGTCTTGCTTGGTTCTCGACCGCCAGATCAAAGACGCCGACACGGAGTTGTGGAGCTGTATTGTATAAGCTGTGGTATTAGTTTATACACCCTCAGATAGTGACTGATTTAGATGCCCCATTTTCGCATACAAGCCTCGAAGAGGGTTAAAAAGTACATCGATGTTGAGTAGATTGAAAGAAAATTTACGAGTGGCCCCTGGGGATAACATATGGAAAATTCGATTTTCCTTAACATAAACAAAAGGAGTGTTTTGCTCATATTTCCACGCAAGCCGTGTTCACTGAATGATTAATTAATGAAATTTGGCTTTGGAAAACCAAAGGCTTTATTGTTGCAAGTGGCCAAAGATTTAAAATAAGATCGTAATATTGTAAGGAAAAATTGGTATTTTAACTGTTTTTTCCACACAAGCCATTCGAGAGTATGAATACGTACATCGTCAGTAGCCCAAAAAACATATTGGCTTTAGTGGCGTGAGTGGACAAGTTCATTTTGGGGTTGGAAAATTTAACAGAATTTTTTTCGTATTTTCAGTTATTTTTCCATCAACAAAATATTTTGCTATAAAAACTTATGAATTTAAAAGCCCATAAAAAAATAATGGCTTGAGTGTAGAGCGTGGTCTTCAAATTTTCAGAATATAGGAAAGTTGCTGGAAAAATGTATGCAAATTGCCACCATTTTCTCACACAAGCCCTTTGACATTATCTTAGAAAAAGTGATTCTAAGACTATAACAAAAGGCTTGAGTGTCGGACATGGACCATATTATGTACCTAGAAAAGAGCTGACAAAAAAATTTACAAATAATAGTTATGCAGGGTTATTATTATTTATTGTTTGGTGATTATTCGTATACTGTTTTAAGTTTCTCTAATATTTTAACTTTCTCTAATATTTTAACTTTCTCTAATATTTTAACTTTAATAACATTGAATATATAATATTCAAGGAAAGTGATATCTACTTTATATTTTAGGTGAAAATTTTAATGTGAATTTTGTGCCGAAGTAACAATATGTTTATTTATATATTCTTTTAAAGGGCTATTAAATATAAACGTTAAAATACCTGTTTAATAATATAAACAGATTCGTTACAAATATAATGTTGGTCCATTTTTAAATTATTATAAAATTAATGTATGTATAAAATAAGAAATCAGCTAATAAACATGAAAAAGCAGATATCCTAGAATTTAATAATGACAATCAAGTATTCTATGAAATAGACACTTAAGGCAAAGAATACCTACCCAAGAAGCGAAACTGGATGAGTTTTCGTATGTACCAAAGCAAGGGAACTTAATACACTGGGAAACGTATGAAAATAATCAGTTTTTGTCATTTGGTTTGTTAGAATTAAACACATACTAAAGTAACAATGACAGACAGAACATTCTTACTATGTTTATTATGTCAAATAGATTATTTTTAACCGACTTCAAAAAATGAGGAGGTTCTCAATTCGTCGTAATATTTTTTAATAATGAAATAAGTACTGTAGGTACAATAATGACAGTCACTACACAATAGCAAATAGGGAATTTTAAGAATAATTATGGAACAGTGATGCAAGGACCATTCACTCTCTATCAATCCCAAGAAAACAGAAATAATTCTTTTCACAAGGAAAAGGATGAAAATGGAATTAAAACCTACAGAGCTCCTAAACCCAAAACAAAACTTTGCAACAGAGGTGAAGTACCTAGGTAGCACCTTTGACAAACAGTTAACATGGAACTCACACTTATAAAACAGAGTTAAACGAGCATACATTACATATGAACAGTGTCATCGAACCGTGGGGCGCATCTGGAGTTTCTCCCTCAGAGTCGCCACATGGACCTATGCTAACATACGGTGCAGTTGTCTGTACCTAAATTGACACCTATCCGCAAAATAGAACAAATTAAAATAACAGCATGTTTCAATATAACAGTAGGGACATGCTCATCTATACAGATAGCACATAAGCGCTACTTAATTTGAACATACTACGAATTTACTCAGGTTTAGTACTAGAAAGTCACGAAGCTTTAGCAAGAGTATCCATCCAACAATGTGGTCACCTTAAGATGGATTAAAGGTGACGCCACTTCAAAAGGTAGCCTTATTGCTGATTCACTAACCAAGAAGGCGGCCAACCAAATACTTTTTGGACCTGGCCCTTCTATTGGACTGATGACATCGGTAGTGACAGATCTAATTAAAGAATATTCCCTTGTGAAATTGAAGGAAAGATGGGATGAAATAAGAAACTGCTGAGTTACCAGGGAGCTTTTAAGTTATCCTGACAACAATACAACAAACAAATACTATGACTAGGCATAATCTGCGTCTGATCACAGACATTCTGACTGGTCATTGCCAAGTATGGAAGCATCTTCATATCATGGGGCTGTCAGAATACACACCCTGCAGGGGATGCGAATGAAAAGATGAGATTTGCCAGTCGCTCTCATTTATTAGGAGATTTGTTTTCGGCGAGTAACACCGGCCGATATAAAAGAAGTACCTCTTAGCGACGTTGTCAACTACATTAAATCTGTAGGCTGGCTCACGAGCTAGGAGGTGCCTATCATTTTAGGAGGATACACAATGGGCCTAGTAAGGCCTAAGTGCCGTGGGGTAACTCACCCTCTACACGTTACATATCCAGAAGTACTGTAGGTAGCTGCAAATGCATTTCGATTCCATCCTCATAGCAGTGACTTGGTTCCTCGAAGTGGGTTTGTCATATATTTTAATTATTGCTTTGTATTATTGTTTATTTACTGTTTTAATTCGACTAGTTTGAAAAACAAAAAAAATAACATATTTATAAAAGACTAAGAAATTAAATGATGCATAATACATAGGCGTAAATTATCATTATAGGTAAAACTGATTTAGAAATAAAAAAAAACATTGACAGCCAGATGAAAGAACGTTCAATAAAATTTAAGAATAACGCAATGTATTTTTTTTTCATGTAATACAAATTTTAAAACTAATTTCTAATTACTACTTAGTTAAATACAACTACTTAACTATGCTGGAATTTTCACGAAACGCTAATAATAATATAACAAACATTTCCCTACATAAATTGACAGCTATATTTGACGTTAAACCACCTCTTAAACACTGAGAAAACTTGGCAGTTTTTTGTCCACGAATCGCCCATTTAGTTTCGCTTCTTGGGTAGGTATTCTGTGCTTTAGGTTTGTTTGGGTTTCTTTTAAAATTTTATGAAAATCGTCCGAGATCCAGTAGAACAGATGAGTAGCACATTATTCATCGCGTACAGCTTTTAAACAATCCACTGGTCAACTAGTCCTCTAGTTCTCAACGTGTTTTTGAAGAACCCCAACAAGTCTATTGTTAAAACAATTTGAATTGCATTAATATAAAATATTAAAGCAATCAAGAATGTTAAGGGATACATCTTTTAACAGATCAAAATGATTTTCTTAAAGTCTGATAGAAAATGTTGATATACCAATGATTTTTGATTAGTTGATAGGGATAGAATATTATGTTAAATTATTTCACTGACAAACATACAAATTATCGGATTAAATAATTATTGTGCTTTATTAATTATTCTTATTTTTATAATTAAACTTTTTTGGTCAAAATTGAAGTCGCAGGTTGTTGTGTTCATTACATTAGTTATTTTTCTTCAAATTAAATAATTGGTAAGTACTGTGATGTACATTTAGTTAGTAGATAATCAAATGAAATATTTGAATTTTTACAATCATATTTGAAAGTGCGTTAAGTTAATAAACCTTTCCACTTTCCTCCATGTGAGGTATTTAAAAATTCTTTACTATGCATTAGTTGAAAGTCATTTGTCATACGGTATAATAGCATGGGGTGTAGCAGGTGCCACTTTAATTAATAACTTGCAGAAAATACAAAAAAGTATATTAAAAACAATATTTCACCGACGTAGAACTCGCCCAACAATAGATCTTTATTGAGAAGCTGGAGTATTAGATATTTATCAGTTATTTGCAAAAATGATTAATACAAAACAACGTAAAGACAAACACACTTTACTATCAGTAAGTCATGACCACGAAACTCGATATAAATTAAATAATGTTGTAATACCTAAAGCCAAAAAACTATAGGGCAAAAAAGTTATGCTTACCTGGGTCCTAAATTATATAATGAAATACCGTTAGAATTACAGAGCATTTATTCCCTAAATCTATTCAAATTAAAAATAAAAAAATCTGATTTGTCCAACACATGACTTTCCTATCTAGTTATTATAGGCTTTTTCCGGTTATTTTGTACAACCTATTGCAGCACCTCTATAAATATTTAGAGGATAAACTAAATATATACATTTTCCCATACATTTACCTCGAAACATTTTTCTATAGATATTCATTGAAAACGAAAATACTGAAAAATTTAAATTTAGCACTCTTCTTCCAATTTTTCCATTACGGTCCATTTTACAAAATTCATATATAAACAAAAATTATAGCTATCGATATCGCAAACAACTTTTAGTTCAACAATTTTCATAAAAATCAGAATTTTGCACATTTTGTAAAATTTCTCGAATACGGACCATTTCAGGAAATTTTGACATAAAGCAAAAATTATAGATAATAATATTAGAAGTAACTTTTATTTGAACACTTTTCTTCTCCAAACATAAATAACAGATATATTCCATAAAATATAAAAACGGCCTCCCATAAAGTACCCCCCCAGATGTTCCGACTTTGTTCAAAATCTAATCATTTCACGTCAGGCAGAAATAAACCTTAAGTTTAAAATTTAATGTTTTTTCTTTATCCGTTTTTGAGTTTTCTTCAAAATTCGAAATTTACACATTTTCTCAAATATCTCGAATACGGTCTATTTTAGAGAAATTATGTATAGAATAAAAATTATAGAGAATTATATAACAAACAACTTTAATTTGAACAATTTTTATAAAAAAATTATTTTTTTTACATTTTGTCAATTTTTTCGAATACGGACCATTTTAGGAAAATTTTGTATAGAACAAAAATTATAGATAATAATATTTGAAGTAACTTTTATTTAAAGAATTTTCTTCTCCAAACGTAAATAACAGATATATTTCATAAAATATAAAAATGACCACTTATAAAGTACCCCCCCAGATGTTCCGACTCTGCCCAAAATCTAATCAGTTCATTAGACCCTGGAATAAAGCTTAAGTTTTAAATTTGGTGTTTTTCTGTGTATCGGTTCATGAGTTATGCGACATACAGACACACACAGACATCATCGCGAAAATAGTCAAAACGGATTCAGGCGACCTCAAAACGTAAAAATCCGTCGAAAACTCGAGGTCGAAAAAAAATCATGTTTCCTATACTTTCCTCATATCTGCATACAGATAGGAAAGTAAAAAATGGATATATTCCATTCCTACTGCGAACCTGCAACGTTTTATTTCTACAAATAATAACGAATGTTATAGTCTAGTTTACTAGTTTAATTATTTAATATTTTGTCTAAAAAAAAAAAAAATAGTTGATAAAATGTAAATATTAAATTAAACTTAGTATTACCAAAATAATGTTTTCCATATTATTCCAAATATTATTTATTATATAATTTTTCATTTTTTTATAATATTTTAATATTGTGTTTTATTAAGTCTGCTCGTCCTAAATAACCAAAAATAACCCACGCTCAAGGATTCTTTTTGTGGGTGTTTCTGTTTATTTACCTCGAACGAATTTACATTGATATACATTATACATTGTTTTTATATTATTTTTGGTAAATAAATTATTATTATTATTATTATTAAAATGTATAAAATTAGTTGTTAAAATTAACTGAATTCATTACCAATATTTTTTAAATAAATTGTATATTTTTTTAATATGAAAACCATAATATGAAAACCCATATCCTGCGCATTATTATGATAATATAAAACGTTATTTTAACTTATACGAGAAGGAAATATATTATTATGCTAAATTATTCCTTTAAAATAATAACCCTGCATAAACATTTCTACATTTTTTGACAGATTTTTTTTTTAAATAAATAATATGTTCCATTTTCAACACTTATGCCTTTCTTTATAGGGTCTTAAAATCACTATGCCAAACGGCTTGTGTGGGAAAATGGTGGATATTTCTAGATTTTTTTGTTAGCTTTTTGTTAAATAAATTATATATAATTAATATGATGACCATGGCCGACACTCAAGCCTTTTGTCTTATGGTCTTATAATCACTTTTTCCAAACATATGACAAACGGCTAGCGTGAGAAGATGGTGGTGGCATTTTCCATACAATTTTCCTGCAACTTTCCGACGCAGGGCCTTCGTTCCGTCCACATTCGATACTCATGCCAAATTTATTATCACGTCTAACACATTAATAACATTCTATGGTTACAAAGGCTTGCATGAAAAAGTAACTGAAAAATAAAAAAAAAATTGCGGTAATTTATTTAATTAGTCCGCAGCCCAGAATTGAACCCGGCTCACACGCGTGGAAGACAAACGCCGCGTCCTCACGTCCATCGCCACAATTACGATTTTAGTTTTAATATTCGTAATTAAATAATTAGTTCAATATATTTTGATTAAAATTTAAGATTTATTTGTAAATGTGGACAAAATAAAAATAGAAATGTTATTATTTATAGATTCTATACAATAACTAATTTTTACGTATATTTAATCTCAATAACCAAAAAAATATATTGACAATAGTTTGACAGAATTGTCACTTATATAAAATTTCTTTAGTTTTTGCACTGTTCTTACTAGGTAGAATAGATATGAAATATATTCGTTCAGTTGAACGCCATGGCATACTTTATCGTTTTGTAATCTGTGCGTATATAAGCTAATATCCATGTGTGTGTAGAAAGAAATAAATAATAGTATCGTGACCAAATATGAACTTTCATTGGTGAATTTCATATTAGTTCAGTAAAATGCAATTGCCAATTTTTTTGTTCTGTAATCTAGCATGGAATAGATAGTATATTCATGTGGGTCTAGAAAAAAATATGAATAGCGTCACAGCCCTATGAAATATGACAAAAAATAAATTCATACTCACAAATTGTTGTATTTTTGCCATTTTACCAAAATTGTATCACAGGGATTTTATCAATTTTCTGATCTACTGTATAAATGTCTAATTTACTTTAGCACTTGTCTCTATCTAACTAATATGAAATACCTATAGCCAAGCATATTTCTGCTGGTAGTAGGTATTGTGACAGGCTTCTGGTATTACCTACAGTGAATCCGCAAGTCTGTATGGCGCTAAGGTGGTGAATGCAGAATAAGGGCTGCTCGGGCGCCAGTTTTGATAACACAGTTTGCTCTGCGACCCTGTAGTTCAGCTGGGTGTACTCAAAATGAACTCAGTGGAGTTAAAAGTACCTCGAGGCGGTCACTGCCACTAAATTAAAATAAGAAACTTATCTCCCTTAGACCCTGTACCCTGAAATAAAACGGTTAACGTCTAATAATTCTGAATTGGCCCTTTAAAAATTGTTGACAACTTCTCTTATTATTAAGACATTACCGTTTATTTGAGAATGGAATTTTTTCATAAACCTTAGGCATGTATTTCCATTAAACAATTGACTATTAATGTCATTAAAAAATTCTTAAATTAATTATTCTATTATTTTGCAGTTTGGTCAAGTGTTTTTGAAAACATGTTTTTTTTTTAAAGGTCGGAGATTCTGCAGTATTTTTATCAACTGGGCGGCCAGATCGGCCTTACATTGGCAAAATCGAAGCCATGTGGGAATTATTCGGTACAATGATTGTCAAAGTTAAATGGTTTTATCATCCAGAAGAAACTATTGGTTGTCCACAAAATCTTCAATATCCGGTAAGCATACATTTGTCTATTACTTTTTTCAACAATAAATAAGTTGTTGAATCTATTAAGACCCAATTCAACTTTTTTCTTAGGTTAGAAAACGATTTTCCATTCGAAGTAATACAAGACGTCACTTTAAATTTCTATCTTTTAATGTCAACAAATACGTAACACGATGAGTTTAATAAAACGTATGTTTCAACTTAGCACGGTTGCAAATTGGCACCAGTACATTTTTAAATCTTAACACAAGTTTTCTGAAATAATTAGGGCAAAAATAAAAGAGTGTATTTTGCGTTTTAGCTTTTAAATAATATAATGGAAAGTCCATAACTTATAAATATTTGTTAAATATCACTTATTAAAAGTAAAACAAACTATAGACTTTCCACCATTCTTTACCGTCTTCTGAACCCATTTTTAAAAACAATTTCTCACAATATTATCGTTCAGGGCTATATTTTTTGTGCTAAAAAGTCGCCGTCACTTGTCATTGAACTTGGACTTAATAGGATCATGTAATACAAAGATTTTTTGTTTCATACATTACATCAGTGCTAAAGAGGGATGGGACTCTTCTATTATGGTACTAAAAGTACTATAGATCCGATCGTATGATTTTTCTTCTGTTTTTTTAATCAAAATACAATTTTATAGGTAATTATTGATAGATAAATACGGTTTTGCCAGGTTGCCTATCAAACTATGGCCATTAGTACTTTATAAAGGGTCATTTAAAACCGTATGTGTAAACCAAAAGTTACATCCACCGAATTCCGAATATATAGTATTTAAAAATCTAATTTTTGGTCAAATTAAACATAACTTAGATCGTCTTACTATTGAAAATTAGACGTAATTTGGTTAGCAGTTATGCCTCTTATTAATATTTCACATCCTACGTACATTCCTTCTCAGTGGCGGCTCGTCGTAATTTAACAAGGGTGTTCACTTTTTTCCAATAATTTTATTATTTGTGAGTTCGGTTCAAAACTTTGTATAAGCGCATATATCGCTTTTGTTTTATTTGGGTTTGTATTAAGAGTAGTTATTATTATCAATATCATACTGTTTGCAAGCACTACAACTATTAATGAATATTTTAGTTTTTGTAATATTTGTTTTGTTTTTAATACATATGTTGAAAACCATTTATAAACATTATTAGTTATAGTCAGCTGACTTCTTCATATTTTGAGATTATTTTTAAATATATATCAGGTTACGTACAAAGCATTGATTTTTGTCTAAAAAAATATTATATGAAACTTTACCTACCGTTTTTCGGTTTTCATTGTAAATTTAATAATTTTCACAATTTATCACGCATGTCAAATAAAATAATGTATTTTTTAAATACCTTTTATTGGCAAATAAACCAATTGCACTAAAATGTTTATTTTATAAGATCAGTCCCCTCACAATACGTATTACCCAGATACAAACTAGAACAAAACAGTTTAACAAACCCTCTTAACTCCCATTTTCAATCAGATTTTTTTCAGGATCAATAGGCTTCACCCCCTTATTAAGCTTGATTTTTTTCCAAAAATTTCGAGTTGATATTGTTCGTTTTTGAGTTTTTTTAAATATTTCAACCTCTTTTAACCCCCCACATTTATTCAAATTTTTTTCACAATCGTCTCCTTATAAAGCTTGATTTTTGCAAAAAAATTCATGTCAATTTCGCTTTTCATTTTTGATTTATGATTTTTTTTTAATTTTAACCCCCCTTAAACCCCGTTTTTAATCAGATTTTTTTTCAAAATCAAAGGGCTTCTTCTCCTTATAGAGTTTGATGTTTGCTAAAAATTTCATGTTGATATCGCTTTTTATTTTTCGTTTTTATTTTATGATTTTTTTTAATATCAACCCATCATAGGACATAAACAGTATTTTGCGATATGCCAAATGAACGCACTTTGATTAATTTGACGTTAATAATTTTATATTTGAAGTTTGACTGAATGAAATGTTTATACATCATTTAAGTCATATTATTTAAAAAAAGGTATTTATTCTCACTAAAACTGACTAGTTCCATTTGCTCGAGTATGACATATGACGTAAAACTGTGCGGACACTTTAAGTATCGTCATAGCCTCTCCTCTTTATTTTATATCAATGATTGGAAAGTTCGTATGCCCCGCCCTACTTTGTGACGTCACTTTGTTCGTTGCAGTGATTTTATCCAGGCATGTTATTTGTTTCCTATGTTTCACGGATATGTTGACGTGTGGACGTCTCTTTTTAGCTAAAAACTTTCGCGAACACTTCTCATTCTCTCGGGCTCACTTATAAAAGTGCGCTACGGAAATGCGATTAGCCAGAGCGCAGTAGCGTACCCAAAAATGTATATTAACACCTATGAACAATAAAATTATTAAAATTGAATTTATATTTTTGTTATTTATTTTAAAATAATGTGTTTTTATGAAATGTTACTGGCTGTTCACTGCACAAATGAACCAATGGAGATACCGCCCCTGTTCCTCCTAGATTTCTAAAAAGTACATATTAGGTTTGTTCCCAATTAGATGTTACGATTAGTTTGCAATTAGTACTTGAACTGACCTAAGCGCATGTCATACATGAACTACGTTACAAATTAGTAAAAAGTTTTGTTCTATTGGGAACGCTTATAATGGAAATTGTCATGAATGACATTAGAGGTTGGGTAAATTGTCCGCTGGATATAGCCCCCGGTAAAGTTGCAGGAAAGGTATGTACTGACGCGCATCCTGGCCGCGCATATAAATAATCTGGTTTTATGACAGTATAACGTTGCCAGATTGCTACTTTTATATTATTAATAAATAATATCTAAGTAAAATAACAAATAAATAAATATAAACAAAAATAGACAGTGACTAGCAGTACATCGGATGTACGCGTTTCATTTGTACATCGGTCTCCTTTTGACAGTAGGTAAGCTGTGTCCAGGCCGTTGGTGTTTATACAGGTCGGCGTAGCCAGGTATGGATTTAAATTTTCTTGTCGTTGCTTCGTCTTCTTGTTGTCACGGCATTATTTTTATTTGTTCTGAAATGAAGTAAGGTTAGAATTATGATGTACAAATAATGGGGAATACATCCGATGTACAAATATTTCGTTTATTATACATCCGATGTACTGCTAGTCACGGCGACAAAAATACCTTTGGCTGAAAGTTTTCTTCCTTTCAGTAGATTGGAGGACTTGCTTTATGATAAAAAAAATTATGTAAAAAAAGATTAAAATGAATTATTGTATTTGAATTAAAAAATGAATAGAAACTACAAAAATTATATTACATACCTAGTAAATAGAAAATTACAACGTGGCAACAACGCGATAAATTTAACGATTATTATTAGTCGCCAAATTATCAATAAAAAGTTGGGTTAAGTTTACCGAATGTAGATGGAGATTGTTTTGAGCATGCGTTAACTTTTCGTACATGCTTTTTAGCAAGGACTGTTTTGATCATCCGCAAACTAATTAATGTACTAGTTTGTGTTTATTGGGAACTGCCAACCCATCGTGCATGTACTATTCTACAAGTGATTGGGAACACTTTTATGCTATTGCGCAATTGCAAACTATTCTCGATTGCGATTGGGAACAAACCTATTGTTGTGCTGGTTTTTGGTAAACTCAATTTATTTATAAACTCAACTTTCACAATTTAACTATACAACTATTAACATTAACGTACAACTTCTATCATAAAACTGAACTGTGGCGTCACCTTATATCGTTCCCATGATATTAGGACAAGCAGATAAGCTCACGCGCATGATATATTCTCTCTCTCTTCCTCAACTGAAGTCAACGCGTGTCAAATTTTAGTTCAAATTTTTCTAGTCACGATTTATACGAAAATCAACGACATGGCACTCAACGTGTTAATATAGCCACTCACGATTTCTACAAGAATCAATGACTTAAAAAACAACATATAAAAATGTTTACATAGTCGTCAGTACACATAAATAATTGTAAAATACACATTTTACATACATTAACATATAGCATGTAAAAATTAAAATAAAATAAGATTTTAGAAGATCACAGTTAGTAATAGTAATAAATTAAAAAACATAAAAACGGCTCCAGAGTTATAGGGGCTATAGTCCAGAAATGGACGATACATGTCAAAAATTTATTTTTGAACAGGAACTTGAGTTGGAACAACCTCCTCCTCCTCACGATGAGTCTTTCGAATACGTTCAGCAACTAAAGAGCATCTCGAAAAAAAAAAACTTTAACACAAAAGGTGTACTTGGTGGATGAGGAAGCTCAAGTGAAATCCGCACTAAATAAAAGTGCAGAAGACAGAAAAATTAACGTTTCGGCTGAAATCCGTGGAAAGCAGCAGGTTATGTTTGAAATTAAAAAGGTTATGTAGAAACAGCGTGAATTTGAAACCTGACGGTATATTAGAAGTAATTTCGATGAACTAAAACCAGGAGATACTTTAAGACAAAAATTTAACACATCCATAAACAAAATCAATCATACAATCCATAGTGCAATCTTTGAAAAAAAGAATATAGTTAAGAAAATTCTGCCGGGCTACTCCAAAAGAATGATCGTGGAAAGTATCTTTGAATTAATACGAATACAATACAAAGCATGATAAGCAAACAGTGCTCCGAAACTATCAGAGAACTAATTAAACAAGCCGAAATAGCGAAATGTTTTATCACGCGATAGTACTGGATACTAAACATGACAACAAAAATTCCCAAATTATGACATATAATAGGCCGTCCACATCTCCTCAACGAGGGGAATGATCTTGTACTCAAGGAATCCTGATCTTTCTGTCATATACTTTCACAACCCACTTATTGCAATTAATGATGTAAGCCGTCCAATATACACATTGTAATGAAATAATTTTATTGTTTATGAAAAATAAATGAAAAAATTATTTGCTAGTTTAATTTGACAAGTGTCGATCAAGACAATTCTCCTTCCTCCATGGCAGTTACGAAACCAGAACAACGTTGCCAAGTTATTTTAATTTTGTTCGTTAATTTTATATTTTCATTTACATTCTAATTAGTTAGACAAAGAAAAAAAAAAACAAAAATATCGAGCATTTCGAACAAAATAACGATTTATGAGAAATTGCATCATTTATGATTGAATAGGAATAATGGGAATAATTTTTGTAGAAGATCATCCTGTATAAATATTTGGTATTTGGATACGATCTTGATACGATTGTCAAGTTTGACACATTTTTATTGTAGAGCCGTATTAATATATAAAGCTTATTCGAGCTAATACTCTTCTACTTTATTTCAATTTTGAAATATAGTTAATTGTCTCATATGTTGTCTCTGCTGTAGAGTTATCCCCTTTTAATAATCGTCATACAACTTTTATACTTTAAAATTGAAGGGATTATTGGAAAAACGTGACCAGCCACAAAATTCATTTATTGATAAAACACTGCTCAAAGATTCAAATAAATTTCTTAAACTACTACTACTTTGTTAAAATGCAATGACTTGATTTTTTGGCTACTGATGGCATTTGCTGGAAATATCCATTTGGTATTCAACTTGAAACCTTGTTACTTATTATTGTGAGTAAAAGTGCCATTATTTGAAAACGTGGGGCTTGGCACGTTTTTTGAATAAGCCCTTCAATTAAATAAATTAGTCAATTTATACCTTGACGCCTTCTATACATATATTTTTTTTTTCAGGGAGCTCTTTTTGAATCACCTCATATCGATGAGAACGATGTTCAAACAATATCGCATAAGTGTGATGTCGTACCTTTAGAGCAATACAGACAACGTTTGGGAGATGATCCCGAAAATTATGCAACCATCTACGACAATAATGATATCTACTATTTGGCCGGTTATTATGATCCAACTTCTTGCATCATGAAAATGGAACCCGGCATACCTTTTGCAAAAACTAATTGACAAACAGTTTGTTTAAAAAAATGTATTTAACGATAATGGGTAGATTCCATTGGAGGTGGTGAATTATACAATACCGTTGTTTGCAAACAATCGGCAGGTAGAATATTAAATAATAAACGCGATAAAATATCTTCTCCGAAAAGACTGTTTAAACAGACACATGCTTTACGGGGAAGCTTATTTTTTGAGCTGCATATTTTTATAAAATATTTTTGCAAATTTTTTATCTAAAATTTTTACATCCTGTTAGTTTGATAGAGCACCTGTAGATAATTAATTACAAGTGTTTGCAACATGAATAAGGAAAATAATTTTCTTATGCAACCTTAAAATAACTGATAGGAGGAGTGTTTAATTGTTTTTGGAACTCATATTTAATTAATGAAACAATGAAAGCAGTTCACCAACTTTTTAAATGGAATACACCATTGTCTACCACCAAACCAGTACAATTAATGCAATATGAATCGCTAACTGATATTATAATTCAATTTATAACATTTTAGAGGTTAAAATGTAAAAAGTATGTCCAACACTAATAATTGCACTGATATTTTGTGTCTTTATTTTCGGAAATTACATTTTTTCTTGCGATTTGTTTTCTAGATAGGTTACTTGGATTATTTGGTAATGTACTTATATTCACAGGAATGTTTTATTTGGTGATGTGATTTCTAAACAATTGCAAAAAATAGTTATAATTTAATACTTTCAAAAGGTATAATACGATTTCATTAAAGGAAAACTAATTCAATCGAGACTATTTGTCATAAACACAAAACGAAATTTGTATAAATACTTGGCTTTTATTTGCCATAAGAATATTAGGTGATAACATCTAATTATATGATGTGTTCCGTAAAGATTATAGTGTAATAAAGAGCATGAAAAGCTGGACTACCACACCTACAAATTATTCTTAATTACAACTACAACAATGAATATATCTTTTCTTAGTTCCCAGAAATTAGGAATTGTAAAAAGCAGTCCACATTACATAATAAGTAGATTGTACCTTCATACTATAAAATATAAATTGATTAATAGGAATGCTTTTTTAGAAACTGAATTGTCTATATTTTAACCCAGTGATTTAAATGTAAAAATGTTATGTAGGTATGTCCGAAAAGTAACTGACCTTATGTCATAGTAGCGTAAAAAAATTAATTTTAATCAATAGCAATGATTTCCTTGTGAGAAGTCACTATATTTCTCGGCGGCTTCTATACCACTTTTACAAGCACTTTATTTCTGGAATTGATTTTTATTTATTTCGTCTTGGCATTCAGATATTTCCTTTAAAAGTATTTTTTGAAACCAGAAATCGTAGGGAGATAGTTCAAGCTGGAAACTGACCATCGAAGTTGAATAAATGCATCATTCGTTAGAAATTACTGGATAAGTGAGATACATTTTCACGGTGAAGCATCCAGTTGCTACTTTGCCACAATTGAGACAGTTTTGTTCTCACTGCAACAAGAAACGGCTTTAGAATTTTTAGACAATACTCATTGTCGACTGTGTTCTGTTATATACTTTTTCTAGAAGAAGAGTGGCCTTTTTATCCATATTTTTCAGTTACTATCAAATGTGATGGACCCAAAAATCAATATTTAAACTGGGATATCTTCTACAACTAGCGAATGCCTGTTTTTTCGAGAATAATTATGTGTGTTGAAGATTATAGAAATACAAATTTCTTCGATTTTGAGAAACAGTTTCTTAAAAAATAAGACGAGAATAAAAATATATATTTTTTAACTTTATATAACATTTCTTGTAAATTATATTCACCAAATCTATTGTTCACATCGTACAGTTTCATTTTTTTCACCCTTTCAGGCATTCCTCTGCTCCCTACTGAGGGGTGACAGTAGGCTCTTCCCAGTCGGGATTAAGTTGCTATTTGGTTAAGCTCCCCAAACATGCATGGCAGCTTTACAGCCCCTTGCACTTGTGTTATCATTTGAATGCCATACTCCTTCCCATTCATTTAGCTTATAAATTCTACCCATACATCCAGACCGTGGCTGGTCATACAATGCTGAGCTGTGATCGGTCTTTTAAATATCTTTCACAGTCAGCCAACGACCCAGTTTGGTTTCAATTTTACTTTACTTAATTTGTCATTTAAAAATAGGTGAATAAGCCGAAATTGCAACATTTTAAAACATACTCATTTTCATTCATCAACACACATTATCATTAATCAAAACAATTTATTTTCTATCTAAATTAATAAAAATAATATTCAACATTTGTACCATTTAGAATAGATTAATATACTTTAAGACAGCTACCGGTTTCGACCCAAGGGTCATCATTAGGCCTAAAAAAATGGGTAATATTAATTGAAAGCGCTACAAACCTTGGTAAAAAGGAACAATAAATGTTGGCGATACAATCATACGAAAATGGTTTTTAATTAGAGAATAACAAAATTGGTACCATTAAACGTAGAAAGGAAAAATTGACTCAGGCTTAAAAATCATACAATATGCCTTATTGATGGAATGTACAAATAAAATCTATAACTAATATTAAATTAAAGTCATTGGATAACAAGTATTCAAAAAATTGTTAAAGAAAAAGGAAATGCTCAAAATTTAAGCCAGAAAAAACTACGTGGGTTAAAATGGTTTTTTAACCCACATTGATATAAAAGTATTATTAAAGAGGATCCCACCCTTGAACTCGGTTTCAAACTTTGATGGCAAACGGTGTGGAAAAATTCTTGTCTTCTAGCAAGTCTGAAGAGGTATATAATATTGTAAACGAGTAAAAAAGATTCAAACCAATGAGGTATTGAGTTGCTTGAACATTGTAGTGTGTAAGGCTTGAGTTATCTTTGACATTTACCTTAAATGATACATGTTTAACAAGTAAGTCCATAACAAACACACCATTTAAATTAATACTAATCTAGGTAGTAATTTGATAATTAAAAAAAAAGAGCAGAAATAAATGGTGAAAATGATTTAAAACTTTTATTGACATCTTATCTGGCGTCATGAGAAATGTCTAAAAATATAGTATTGCCAGATCAATTAGAACATGTCAGTGGTCGTTTTGAGGTCGAGTAAAAGTAAAGTAAAAAAAGAACTAAACTAAATTATTGAACCTGTAAGTGAGCCATTGTTAATGGCTCAAAAAAAGTTATACCTAAAATGAGAAAAATTGAAAAACTCCACTAACCTAACCTGGAGCCATCGATAAGACCTGGAGTCATTGCGGGTATGATAAAGTAGACATTGTTATCCTTCCTTTTACGCATGGGTCAAAACCAGTAGCCATCGTGTTAATAAAGTTTATTTGGTACAGATTTTGTCAACCACATTCGAGCAATTAAATACCCTCAATGATTTATTTTCTATATAGTTGAATAATCGACGGATCCCGACGACTTTAGGGACAGTGGAATTTTAAAGAAATTTATTTTTTATCAGAAAGAGCGTATTTTAAATAGTACATTAAAAAAAAAATTGCGGTAAATGCATTATTTAAACCAAAAAAGTTATTTAATTTCTATAAAAATCAGCATTTTGACGACTGTAAACATCGAAACTCGTTTCTGTCAAATTTGGAAAATATAATTGCAACGTTGCCGGATTGTGATAATTAGTAGTTAATGGAAAATTGTGATTGCCCATACCGGTCCATAAATATGCAACAAGAAAACGAAGCAACGATAAGTCGTTAACATTAACCCATACCTGGCTACGCCGACCGGCATAGACTCCAACGGCCTGAACACTGCTCAAATTGAATTGAAAACGTAAACTTTTTCACATAATTTCTTGCGATTGCGATAACCAGTCTATAAATATGCAACAAGAAAACGAAGCAACGATTTCGCTCCGCCACCAAAAAACATCAACCCATACCTGGCTACGCCGACCGGCATAGACTCCAACGACCTGGACACAGCTCAGATTGAATAATTGAAATGAAAAGTCTCAAATAAACACGTTTATATTCTGGTTTTATCATCTGGCCTGGAGCTATTGAAAAAACAGCCACTGTCATTCCTATTATGTACGGTCTTTTACTGTTTGACAACACCACATTTATAGAAATAAAAATGTTAGTTGTCATATTATTCATAAACAAAAAATAATATAGTACGGTATTACCATGAATATATTTATTTAGAACAAATAACAAAAAGCAATTGGCAACATCGCTAAAATCACGCACAGGCGCTCTTAGTGTGACTGTCAAATCGAAAGAATTAAAAACAATATGGCTACGTGAAAATTTGAATAAATGCATATTCTTTATTTTTTTAACTTACAAATGTGTTCTAATAATATTTGTTGCTTTAATTAGGTTAGTACACACTTATAAAAGATTAAAAAGTGTAAAAATATTATGGTTTTACTTAATCTTTATGGAAAAAGTGATAAAATTACTGTCCCTAATATCGACGGTAGCCTAATCGACAATTTCACTCTTATTAAGTTTATAGTACAAGGTAGGATGCTTTTTGGACATACCTCGACGCTGAGTTTCATTTTAACATTACATTTTTGTAATTTATTATATTTTTTTTTTTTTTTATATAGTTGCTGACTTAAATGTTATCGATAATTCTATAAACATTGCTAGACTTCGTTGATTGCCAAATACCCCAAATTACTATTCTAGTAAATTGTGAAGCACAACATGTAAGTTACATATTCTAATTAACCATTAATTAAGTAAAATAGCATCTAAGGTTATTTTATGAAACCAGTTTTATATCTACTAGACATTAATTACATCGGAGTCTGAGGATGTATTAAAAATAATCTGCAGTTTTGCGAATATTCTACTATGTAAAATACTGTTAAAACAAAGGTGATTTTTTAATAATATCTATATAGACTTTTTCCGAGAATTATCTCGATTTAATTTTGGGACATAATGACATATCACATTTTCATTAATATTTCATATTAGGGTATAAATAGTCAACTATTTGTTGGAAACCTTAAAGATTTATTTATTTACTATTTAAAATTACAGGCTATACAGGATGGCTACTTTTTAATTGAAATGATTTACTTTCTTGTAAACTGTTGGAAACACAAAGTTGGTAAAATAGGGAAAAGTAATGTATATTTCGAAGTACTAAGAACGTTTTAAAAACCAAAATGTCAGGGGCGGTTTTCGACATATTCGATAAAAAATGTATTAGTTCAATTTATTCCACTATAGTCTGCTTATTTTCAAAAATGAACAAAACTCATTCAAGCTTTTTTTGTCCGACGTTTCGTAAATGCAGGGCCACCATCAACTTCTTTATTATAATATGGTCCAGTGTTATTCAGAAAGATCATTTTAATGCATGTTTAATGCTAAATACAATGATGTAATAACATATTGTGATTTGTGATAAGCCAATAGCAAATTAATAATATGCGATTGGAATCTTCATAGTACATGTTGAAATTGCATGGTTAAAAATATGTAAAATATAAAAATGGTGAAATATTTTTTCAATTAAATTATCTGTCTTTAGTAGAGAAATAAATGTAAGTTATAGCTTTTAAAATCTAATTGCTTAGCAAAAGTAAACTAAAACAAAGAATAACAAGAATATTAAGGAAAAATAAAAAGTTAATATTTTATTTTGTGTTTTTCAAGAAACTGCTTCATACGACACTGAAGTTTTCTGAGAGCATATTAAGTTTTTAAAAAATGTCACAAATATAATTATTAATTTTTTTTGTCCCCCGATCGCCTGGCAAGAAATTTCTTATACACTTTGTAACATATGTCTTTTATAAGTTCTACCTAATTAAAATTTAATTTCGTAGTCTTAATCTGTTCATAGAACAATGTTTGCATCATTTTTCTTGAATGGCTTTTAAAAGTCTGTGTTCTTAAATATGTTGCTAAATTTTACTTTTACTTACTTTTATTGTAAATTCACATACATATTTTGTATTTAGAAATCTTTTGTGAAACATCGTAATCGTAATAACGATGTGCAAACAGTAGCTAATTGAAAACTCAAGAAATCAAAAAATTGCTGTAATATATTTGGTAATTCACTCAACGGTCAATACTGATCTGTAATATGGCAGCGTTGCCAGTTGCCAAAAGAAACATTTTTTGGTAAATAGTTAAGAGATTTTTTAACCAGTCTTGTCCGTCGGATTTGTCTGTGGACTTTTCCAAGCGACCCATCACTAATACATTTAAATTACAAAGTGACCATCTTGTGTGTATCGGAACATCTAATTTCTTGCGAAACTAAAACACATGATTAGAAAAGTTTTTATCGATTTTCTGAACTATACATGTTACTAGAGGGTTTTATAAATTATATCGGTAGAAATGAACATCTACAGAGACCGAGTTGGGAATGTCTTTAAAAAACCTGTAACCAAGAATGTACAATATTTATTGCTTTACCTATGATTTTTTCATTGATTTTAATGTCATAAGTCAAAACGTTACGTCGATACCGTGTTGTAAATTTGTTGAGGAGTTTTTAATGTTTAAATATGTATTTTATATTCATTTTTGAGAATAGGATATTTTTAACTACTACTAGCTATGTTATTTCTAACTAATAGTTTTGATATACGATTGCAACTGAAACAACAATGAACAATTATGAAGAAAACCTAACTTAACATTTTAAATATCATTTAAATATTTTCAATTTTAAAGTTAATTAGAGATGTTATTAGGGTAAATAGTATTACTTACATCTCTTCCTCCATTGGCAGTCATTAATTGCTAAATATGATGTAATCTTACATTTATTGTAAAAATCATGTTTACATGTGAAAATCGTAAAATTTAGAATGTTGCTTGATAATATTTACTACCTCAGGGAATAGTTACAGTGGTTTGTTTAATGAAATCGATATAAGGAAATTGTTAATAATTTTGCTGTCCTGAGTTGACAAATTTAACCATTTAATGCAGTATTAATAATTAAAAAACCTCGCTTACAATGGACAGTGTTGTTCCACTGTTTGTAATTGAAATTAAATCACTCACATGTGGCTAACCTCACCCTTGATGTAATTAAAATGCCCAATGATACCTATACAGTATCAACCATCGAACACTTTCCAGTACGCTTTGTATAAGTCTATGTGAAAACTACAACTAGAAAACTAGAACGAGCAGGAAACGAACATTATCAGCGTTGACAATTAATATGGTTTGGCAGACGTTACAACGCGGTCGGGACGCTCGCATTAATGCCGACTCTCTCTAGCTTTCACTCGGACATTAGCAAAGCGCATTGGAAAACGTATACACAGTATATACAAAGTAGAACAATGTTATACATGGTTAATCCTAAATTGATAATTCTTTAACTGTGTAAGTCGTTAAAACAAACATTTTTTCAAAATACTCAACAATAAAAAAGGGAATTAGATAATTTAAATCGAAAATTAAGCTAAATTTTTTCGTTTTTTGCTTTATACCTTTTTGTCACGAATCACGCAGTTACCAGTCAATGTAATTTACTCGAATGCTCACTTTTCAGTAGAATGTTTAATATGAAAACAAAGAAGTTGAGAATATGTTGCTTATTTGTAGCAAGTGTCTTCAAAATAATATAATATTTAATATCGATCGATATTGTATTGAACTTAAAGCGTGCTATTGTTTACATAATAACATTAATTAAATTATTGTTCATTATGAATGGACGTTCGAATGTAGTGTGGATTTTTTTTTCGGTGGTAGATGACAAAAAATAAATTGCAAAATATGAAGTGCAAAACAGTAATTTCTTATAAAACCAGTGTCTAATTTAAAAAAAAAACACCTTCTAAGAAAGCACCCTACAGTACAATTACAATTACTTTGAATAATTTTAAAAATGTCACTAGTTCGTAAATATTCTCCTGTCTTATAAACGTATTATAATCCCTAAAAAAATACCTACAAGCAAGAGAGTTGAAACATCAAATGAAAAACGAATCCTAATACAAAAATACTGAATAGGTACTCAAACGTATTACAAGTTGCCTGACTAATCCTATATCATTCCGTTTCAGTTACGAACATCAGTTACAACGCGCGATAGCATCCAGTGACACAAGTAATAGGTTTTTGTGAAATTTGGTAACAGGTACGCGGAATAGGCAGGAGATACCTATTCGAAAGTAACAGGTCCAGTTCCATTGTAACATCCCTATCTATAATACACAGTTAAAAAAGTATCAACTTAGAATTTACCCTATATAATACACTGATTCAGCTGTAATTAACAGATTTTAGCCTTATTCAGCTAAACACCTTTTATTCCATAGCACTGTGTCTCCAAACATAATAGTTACCATTCCTTTATTTAGATAAGTGAGAGTTGACAATTTAACATGCTTAAGAGGCAGTTAATACTTCTATGTCCTGGGGTTTGGCACAGTCAAGCAAAAAGTGGCACAATCAAAAATTGTCTCAAAACAACACTGACAATGGCCAATATTGGTCATGTACGCAGGATGTTTCAGATTTCATAGTACAGCAAAAATAATTAAAATTATTTGTTTGAAAAATTCAATTGCCCTAATATTCTTGGAAACATGGCACGGTCAGTTTTTTAAAGTATCGCTATTTATTTAGCTATTTTTTTTTTTCAACTAAAAATTAATATTCGTTATTCAATAGTAAAGAAAATCTACAAAATCAACTTTTTAATCAAATTTAGTCTGGCAGAAATGTGAAGTATCGACATATTTGGCATATTTTTTCTCCCTGTATTTCTCAAACACGATCAAACAATAATAGTGCTCCTTCAAAATATCTAGGGATTTAAAATTTTTAACCATAATTAAGAATAATATGCGAAAATATAAAATCAAGTAATGATAGAGTAAGTCTATGTAGAAATATTAAAGAATAACTTTTGTTATAAAATTATGTTTTATTAAAAATAAAAAGAGCAATTGAAATTAAGCACAGAGATGCCTTTTGCAGTTTCTTCCAGTCCGATTGAAATGGACGTTATGGATGTTTGAAGACCTTTTAAAATAACAAGCTCTTTTTATACTATATGGTTTTAAGATCTTGAGAGATCCATAATAATGATAATCAAATTTTTACTCAAAAGGCCTAGACTGATTATTTTTTCTGTTTTGACACAGCGAATTAAATGTGGATTTGTATGTAGTCCACTAACCACTAAAGTTTCTCTAATATACAAGGTGTTATTTTTTTTGCGAGTGTATAAGAGAAAAGTATTTGATAAGAATTATCGAACCTCAAGAATATCACTGATAAAAGCATTATA